TACGATTTTTTTTGTTGAAGAAAGAGTTTTGTAATTTTTGTGACAAATCTGAACTAGAAAAGAAAATGTTTCTTGTTTGTTGATACTGTTTGTTTAAGGAAAAACATTATGTTTCTTGTTCAAGAAACTTTTTTTCCTGTTCAAGAAACATGTCTCTTTGATCAAGAAAGTGCTCAAGAAAACTGTTCATTGCCCAAGACCTGTTTATTGTTCAAGAAACATGTTTTTTTAGCTCAAGAAACATGTTTATTGCTCAAGAAACCTGTTTTTGGAGCTCAAAAAAACTTTTTTTTTTTGCTCAAGAAACCTGTTTCTTGGTCAAGAAACCTGTTTCTTGATCAAGAAACTTGTTTTCAGATATCTATTTAAGTTTTTTATATTTAAACAGTTAGTCAACTAGATAATATTCTATCTTTCATGATATTTAGGGTGATGATTGGAGTTGGAGATGGAACCAACCTTGCAATTGGAGTGGAAAAATAAAATGCCAAACAAAGCCAGAAGTAATACGCCATATTAATTCGCAACTTGAACTTTGTGGCCGTCTTAGGGAATTTGAAAATTCATGTTTCGGACAGTTTTTGAGATTCGATAGTCATGCCTACTATAGTGGAAAACTCCTCCTTGCATTACTTGGACGGGAGGTAGTCGTGGATGACGCTCGAGAGAAGGAGCGGTGGTTTAGAGTTGGGGGAAAAAACTTTAAATTTGGTAAAGTGGAGTTTTGCCAAATTACAGGATTGAAATTTGGTCAATCAACTTTCATACCCGACGAGAATGAGAGTTTTCCACCACCGATAAATGGGATATATCGGCGCCATTTTGATGGCCAGTGTTGTAGGCGTAGATTTACTCAATGATTTCAAGAAGGGTAAATTTTTGAATTACCCCGATGACGCAATGAAAGTTGCCTTGATATTGGTCGTCCACTTTTTCTTCTTTGCACCCGACCCTAGATCGGCTGTGCCACTTTGGCTGTGGACATTAGTGGAAGATCTTGAGAATTTTCAAAAATTTCCATGGGGTGCATATGCCTTCCAACGTTTATACCATTACATTGATGTTGGTATACGTGCGCCGGAAGATGGTTGTGATGTACAATTCTACATCCATGCTTATTTGTTTCCGCTGCAGGTACTTTTGCTATTTCAAGATTTTAAAAATATTTTCCGTGTTCTAGTTGTTAAAAATGACAATTTGTGATTTTTTGTTTTTTAAATAGATATGGGCTTGTGAGTTGATGCCCGAGTTTGTGATTGAAGCCGGAGGATTTACTTGTACCAGAGATGGCCTACCTAGAGGCACAAGGTGGCTTTGTCCGAAGAAAAATTTTAATCGTTTAGATGAATTGGATAAACCGGAGGTAAATATGTTTATTATACATATAATTTAGTGCATCTATCTTGTTATGAGAATTTTCATATTTTTTATAATATTATTTGCATCTTATATGTAGATTAAATGTAATCAAATGACTTTGACGGATGCGGAGAAAAATGCTCCTCACATGGTTGACATCGATTTGGATTTGACCTTGGGGTTGGAGTATATCCACCATGAGTCTTGGAAAAGTAGTTGTGACCCTTCAAACAAGAAGGTACGGAAAAATAAGCGCAAGGTTGTTGCGTCGACGCAGAAACCTTTGAAGAAGGCTCGTGGTCTTGAGGCTACTGATGGTGAGGAAGAAGAGATGGTGAGGGAGGAAGAGAGGGAGGAAGAGAGGGAGGAAGAGAGGAAGGCTAGGGAACCTGATACTTTGGGAATGGACAAGGATATCCTCAGAGCATTGATAAAGGAAGAAGTCTCCAACTGTTTGAAGGAGTTGGTGCCTTTGATAGTTGAGAGAACTTTGAGTCAGCTCGTCCCCGAGGCCATTAAGTGGACATTTGAGGAAGCAAGGAGAGCTGGGAATGATTCTATGATAGAGAGACCTGGGAGTACAAAGCAAGGAGATGAGAATCCTTCAACTCTAGGAGAAGCAAGTGAAATACCAGAATTTGTTCATGTGGTAAGTTTCTTTTGACACTTAACATGTTCATTTTGGTGGATTATAATTTAACATGTTTATTTTGACATTTGTAGATTTGTTCTGGTAGAGTTATGGTTGTGAGAATTTTTGTTATGGTTGTTTTAACATGTTTAATTTAACCGAGTTTACTTGTATTTCATGATGATTATATGTTGTTGAGGTGGTATGAAAAAAGGATTGAGGAGAGTGTGCAAATTCATGTCCTTATTTATTTCAAGCATGCACATGATTTGAATGAGCTCCGAACAACATGATATTTTGTTGTACTTTTCACCTAAAACTAATATTTTATGTTCCAAAAGCTCTTAGGTGGTTGATAACGAGGTTGAGACAGAAGACAAGGAAGATGAAGAAAGGAAGGAAGAGGAAAAGAAGGATGAGGAGGAGGAAGAAAAGAAGGAGAACGAGGCTAAAAAAGAAGAAGAGGAGAAAGAAGAGAAGGAGGAAGAGGAGGAAGAGGAAAATAAGGATGAGGATGAGGAAGAAGAGAAGCAGAAGGAGGCTAAGAAAGAAGAGGAGGAGAAGGAGCACGAGGTGTTTGCCAATGAGGTAAATTAATTACATTTGCATTTTGACTTTTGTACTTTTTTTCCTGAATAACAATTTGGTTCTTCTAGAATTAATATTTGTTGTTCTAAAAACTCTTTGTTGATTCATGAGGAGAGGTCCGAGAAGAAGTCCCCTCAGGATTCGGAGCAGGTGGTGGTTGAGAATGAGGTAAACGAACATTTGTACATTATTTGCATAATTAAACTTCTGTTCTCGCAAACAAATATTTTTTGTTCCCAAAACTTTTAGGCGACTGAAGAGAAGGATGATGAGGAGAATAAGTCTCCTGACATTGTCCAGATTGCTCATGAGGCTGTGGAGCAGGCGGTGAGTACAACAACTAATTTTTGTTGCAAGTTTGTACATTTGTGAATTTGTCGAAAATCTCCTACAACTAATACTTTTGCTTCAAAAAACTCCTAGGCGATTGATGAGAATGGTGATGAGGATAATTCGCCACGACAACAACGACGTATAAGGTTCTTGGGAAAAAAAGTAAGTTCACCGTTTGTGAACTACTTGCAGAAGGACGAAGAGGAAAAATGGAGTCGCGCCTACAAAAAATGGATGAAAGGTAAAGATGATACGCTGTAAGTATTGATTTATTATCTTTGCATTTTGTAAAATAGAGTTTTTATCATTAATAAATATGATTTATTACTTATTTAGAATTGACGTTGAGCAGACGCCTAAGTGTTTACATGGCCGAGACTACTTCCAATATATTGAGGGATTTCGAAAAAAACTTGGTCATATTGTAAGTATTAAGCTTTTTTTTTGTGGATTTTAATGCTAGTTTTCAACCACACTTTTTTTATATTAATAAGATCCCCTACTTTAATGTTGTAGCACATTAATCCATATCTTGAGGTAATTCCCCGAAGGTTGTATAACAAAGTGAAAGTAAAAGCAACAGGTCCTGGTTCAGCTATTAACATCCAGGACGCAACTCTATTTGTAAGTATTGTCATCATCAATATAGAATAATATCGATATTTTAAGTTGACAATGTTTTGCTAACGGTAAAACGTTTTTATCAAAGTTTGTTCGAGCTAGAGTGGAAAAAGCTTAAATGTGTCTATACCGATTGGAAGGCACCTGAGTCGATCATTAAATATGTGCGTGGTACAGCTGTTAGTTGGGGTAAACCTTGGCTGCAGATTTTTGGGTTAAGTAGTTGGATTTATTAGTGATGCTTTTACTATGAAATTGTGGTTTTCGGCAATTTATCAAACCTCTGCAAAAGTTTTTAATTCATAATGTATGGATTGAATTGGACAGGTCGTCTTGGTATGCAACGTGGGGGACCACTGGGTGGTATGTCGTGTGGACTTAAAGAAGTGGGAGATCAATGTCTACGACTCCTTGGCCCACAATTTACTCCCACTTGTTGCCACCTTTACTCCAACAGTGTGACTACTTTCAGAAATTGAGGGTAAAACCTATAACTTACCCTTTCACAGTTAACATTATGCCCGAAAATGAGCAATTAGTCCATAATGATACCTTCAGTTGTGTTCCATTAGCGTGCATGTACGTAGAGCGCATGCTTGGGGACGTCTTTCCGAACAATCCGACTACACAAGATATTGTAGCTTACAGAAAGAAGATCGCTTTAGCTATTTTTGCAAACGGGAAGCTTGTGGAATCAAAGTAAAAGTTTGTTGGATTTTCAGTTTTATGTTTTTTTTTTGGGTTGAATATGTGTACACTATGATCATTGAATATTGTTGTTGTTTTTGAGTGTAATTTGCATTATGTTGTTAATTTTTGTAGATTGATTCATGTTGTTGAGTTTGTTCCACATAGAGTTTGTTGGTGAATATGTTGAACATTGAGAAGGAAAAAGCTCAATTAACAATGCGAAGTAGTAAGAAAATTACTCCTAAAAACTTCACGTGGTAAACGTAGTGATTGATATTTGAAGCTTCCATTTGGTCCGCTTCGTTTTTATAATAAATTAAACGCTTAGATATTGATGGAGGAACTTCACACTCAATCTTTTCTGCCTCGACACGTCTTTTGTGAAACCACTCTTGCATAATATTTCGAATACATTCAAAAAATGAGCAAACAGGCAATTTCCTTGCCCAACGCAACCTATTGTTAAGCACCTCACAAGAATTTGACGTCATGAAACTATACCGTCCCACAGGACATTGACTTCGTGCCCACCTACTTGGAATGGCTTCATCAATCAAAACCTTTTTTGTGTTAGGATATTTTGCCGCAAGCATAGCCATTGACTTTTCGTACACAACGGGAGAATAAGTGTATGAAGCTTTCATATATAAACCAACAGCTTTACACCCGTGACTTCGAATATTTTGTCGAAGGTGGTAGGAGCATATGTCATGTACGGCTTCAGGGTAGACAACCTCCAAAGCAGACTTTATGCTCTGGTGGCGATCAGAAACAATCACTAAATTTTCCGGACATCCAAAAGTGGAGCGAAGCTTTTGGAGAAACCCATCCACGCACTATGACATTCTTTATCGCCGATACCAAATGCCAAAGGAAAAATTTGTTCATTTTCGTCCTTTGTAGTTGCTACAAATAGGATGCCTTTAGACTTACCCTTCAAATGCGTACCGTCAATCACAATAACGGGCCGACAATAACTGAGGAAGCCTGCAGACGCATGAAAAGAAATGAAAGCATACTCAAACACGTCATCTTTATCGGTCTCAATGTACGTCGATGTTCCAGGATTTTCCTTCATCGACATATGAAAATACGCCGGCAAACGTTCCCCGGACTTCTTGTGATCTCCATAAATGAAGTCGTAGGCGTCGTTTTGAGACCTCAGAGCTGTATTGTAGTTGAGCTTAATGCCATGATCACGCTCCATGTCAACCATAATTTCTGCAGGCTTCAATACTCGGCCCTCTGTCAACAACTTCGGCGCGAATAATGCTCCAATGATCTTTGCAGGCAATTGTCGAGGGGCTGAATGACTCAGGTTAACCAAGCATGTATGTGGATGAATAAATTTTGAAATTTTCCAACTACTTCCAGTCAGTGCATTCGCAGAAAGCAAGAATGGGCAGTTTTTATGCTTGCACACAACCTTTAACCGAGAATTTGAAGATCTAGGTGGTCGGTACTCCACTTTATGTTTCAAATGGTATAACCCCACTTTTACCAACAAATCTTCCTTACTTCGAATGACAACGCCTTTGGCTAATTCACAGTCTATCACTGATGGCTCTTCAAGCGAGGGATGAACATCAACATTGTGAAAAATGGCTTCGGGAATCCTCCAACCACTACTCGAACGAGTAGTAGTTTCATTCAAATTGTCCTCTTCAATAGCAACACCTCCAGAAAAATCAAGTTGAGGAACATTGTGGATTGATATACTCTTTTTGTTGCGTAGAATATGCTCATTTAAACCACCCATCATGTTTGAGGGGGACACAACATTGTCATCGCCATCTTCACCTTCTTCCGAGCCAAGCATATCATCTTCTTCAATAATGAAATCCGAATCGTCATTGCTATCATCCATCTCATTGAATAAATCGTCTTTGCAAGGATTATCGTTGATGTTCATCTCATTATTGTAAGCATAAAAATATTGCCCGTCATCATCACCTTCATCATTCCCAGTTGAATCCCCATTCAACCCGCTATCCACACCCCAATCAATATGTTCGGGAGATTAACGTGAGGCACCGGGTTGATTTGAGTCCATCTTTCTGGTGGTGTCGGGCACCGGGTTGTAATTGTTCGTCGGATAAGATGTTGATGGTTGACTATGTAAGTTCATTATAGGTGGATACATAACACCATATGGATAGAGAGGTGGGCCCTGAGCAGCAACTAAATTCATAAACCCACCTTGACCCCCGGTATAGCCATACGAAGGGTACGTTGGTACACTTGCCTGATTATATGGACCTGGACTATCTTTCGGTTGTAGTGTAACATAGATAGTAGGTATTGTGAACATGGAAGACACATTTCGCAGATCTGCTTCACAAGAGATACGCCATTTCTCCACCTCTCCATTATCACCGGCCACTAGAAAGTGAAATCGGTAGTCACACATGTTTCTATGTCCACGAACAATGTCATGAACTCTGTTTATGAAAGCTTCATATGATGAGGTCCTAAGACAGAAAAAATTCATCTCTGTCTCACCATTTTTGTATACATCACCATCCCAAAAGCCACTGTGAACAATTCGCACTTTACCAACATCCATCTGAAAAAAATGAATAAAAAAAAAAACTTAGTACAAATAATTTCTTCACCTTTTTTGTTCCTTCAAATGTGTTTGGACAAAAATATATATGAATACAAGACATATTTTCTTGTTCAAGAAACAATTATTTTTTCAAGAAATAGTTTTTTTCGCGCAAGAAACAGTTTCTTGACAAGAAACTAACTTCTTCAGCAAGAAAATGGTTTCTTTAACAAGAAACTGGTTTCTTGTTCAAGAAACCCGTTTTTTGCTCAAAAAACCAGTTTCTTGACCAACAAATTGAGGTTTTGTTCAAAAAATTATTTTTTTTGTTCAAGAAATTATTTATTCTTCAACAAACCATTAATTCATCTCCTAAACTCAAAAAAAAAAGGCTCAAGTAACAATACATCAAAAGTAATGAACTCCAAAACACAACCCCTTTTTAAAGCACAAAAACCCTATTTTTTTCACTCCAAAAAAATGTGAGTTCAACAAAATAAAATGTTACTATACAAAAATCAATAACTTTGGGAACAAAAATAATGAATGTGTTCAAAAAAAAATTTATGTAACATAATAAAAAAAAAAAACAAAATTAGGTTTATGTTCATGCACCTTTTTTCTTCTCAAAAAGAGATTCACTTGGTAATCTTGGAGATGATATTTGAAATGAAATCACTTTTAAGTGATTTTTGGAATGAGATGGGATTTTTTTTTTCTGTTTACAGCCGCAGAACAATGGAGGAGAGAGAGATCGGCGTGCTTCACAATGCGTGTGGGAGACTCCTTTTTCTTTTATTTTTTTTTTAAATTTGTTTGGTAAAAC